AAAAAAAAAACAAACAAAAAAAAAAACAGACAGCAAAACAAAACAAAATGGCCAGGGGAGCCGCTACAGCTTAGCCAATTACAGCGGCCCCCTAATTAACCTTCATAGCTGAAAGAACAGGACGAATTATTTCTTCTGTAAACATGACATCATTATCATCAGCTGAAAAAAAGCAAAATAAATGTTCAAATGAATCACTTATTCACAGTTGAATATATCACGTGCAGAATTCCAATGATGACGTCATCAGTATATGGTGTCCTAGCTAATATCTGAAAACTTCATGTGAAAACCTCATAAGACAATAACAGCATAACTCTGAGAGCCGGTTAATAACCCATAACATCACATTTTAGATGATAAAAAAATACTTATTATGAACAAAAACAATCAATGCTAATGCTTGTGGTTTACATTACAAGGAATACCTTTCGGAGAGAGATTAATAAATATCTTCAATGCCTGGAGGTGGACATCTTTAGACGGATCCGGTTTTTTGTTTTCATTATTCATCGTCTCTGCGATTTGCTGTTTCGCCTTTCTATTCAAAGACACATCTGAAATGGCAAACAGTCATGATCATCTGAGTCCAGATAAATTACCATCAGATTAAGTCAACTGAATTATTTTATAAAAGTGATGGTAACAGAAGTAGTTCCCAGACAATGCTGCAGTAAAGATAGCACCCAATTCACTTGCTAAGTATAGTTAACAACTGGAACTAAGTCATGTCGTGGGAACTTTTATCGAGCTGACATGATGAGCATTGCAAGGATTTCTAGGAACTTGATCTTGAACTCGGACAATTGTTTACTTTCATTTACATTATCAGTTATCGGTGTGCAATTGAAGACACTTGCTCATACAGTGGAATCCAGATTTCTCGAACCCTCAGTTTTTCGAACCTCCCGATAACTCGAACCAAAAGTCGTTTCCCCTCCTCAGTCGTACACTGTAATTTTACGTCCGATTTCCCGAAATCTCCGATTTTTCGAACCAATTTTCGTTTCCCTTGGAGGTTCGAAAAATCGGGATTCCACTGTACATGTATAATGTTAAATAACATATTTAGCGAGGACGTTGTATCAGCCCTATCTGGTTTTCATGCAGGTCCTCTATCCTGATGGAATGGGACTTTGGAAATGTTGGTTTTATTTAAATCGCCAATACACATTTGCAGGTCCTTTCTCCTTGAAGTCCTTTGCATGTGTAGCATGCTAGACACACTAACCTATCAGCCTGGCGCTCTGAGTTGCCAGTTTCCCTTCCTACCCTCCCCTAATCAATATTCACCTACACAGGGTGTATCTGATGAACACTTTGTTCTTTAACCAGCAAACAGGCTCTTGTGTACTGCGGCACAAGGAAAGGCGAAGCTGCCATGAGAGACAAGCAAAGGACTTGGCACAAAAATGATTTTTGTTGGGCTTCCCAACCTCACCTCTCACAGCTTTGCCTTTGCTCAGGCTCACCCTCAGAGCATGAGCCTTTGCTCATACTCAGAGCATGTTTGATTTGATTCATTGCGTCTTGTCAGGGTATGTCTTGTGCATGTTGCTGCCATACAAGCTGGGGAGCTAGGGAGTTCGGGAGCAACCAGTGTCCAGAGTCCTTACACTGCCAGATATATGTAACTCAATGACTTTATTTAATCATTTGTGATCTTAGTTGTTAAACTAAATTGTTAAATCTTACATTAAACTTACAAAGTGTTCTACAGTTACTCAACCAAAACTTGGCAAGTCTCAAAAGCAAAACGTTTAAAACTTTTACCTTGTTTTCTTGTGATTTGTTCAAGGTGTTTGAGAGCTTGCACCTAATTAATCAAACAAACAAAGATTACAAATAAAAACTTTTCTTTGTCCTTTCAGGTTTTGTTTATCTTGTAGGACTAGTTCATGATTCACTACGCCAGCTGTTTTCACATTAATATGTGTTACAAAATGGCAACGTAATGGTACAACATTATACATGGAGCAACAAGTGTTACAGATTCATTGTTTCATCTTTTGAGAGGGTCCTTGGGAGGTTCGTCACAAAAATGATTTACTAGCTAGCTGTTATGGTTCTCTATTTAACAAATTTCCAGGTTTCATATAACACAAGGTCATACTATGTACTACCTGACAAGCTGAACTATCTTTGTTTTTCTTCATGTAATCTGTTAGTTACACAAGAGATACAGAGAAAGACCCGAAATTAGCGAAAGAACACAGAGGCAGTACATATTTAATCATATTGCTGATAATTACAAGATGGTGGTGCTATTCAAAACCAACAATGACCAGCTTAACTGGTAAGTCACATGTGCAAGTTACATATACAAGTACAAAACCAGTGTTTCTGGAACAAGATAACAGTCATAGAGTCTGTAAGCCCATATAAACATAACTATTATAACAGTAGTTGTCATAATAAGTTATTTACCTAAAACACCAGCTACACCCTTGTCTTTAGGCACTGGTTTCACAGCTGGAAACAAAATTACAACAATATTAACATTACTGTGACACCAGATCAAAGTCATACGGGAACAAATGTTTCTACCATACTTAGGATACAGCAAGCATGTGGATTGATCCATAGATGCCGTCTATTTTCTTATTGCACTTACGTTCTTTCTTGGCTCCCTTGCTGGCAGCTACTGTTCCTTTAGCTTGTTTAGTAGTACTCAGTGCAATACAACTCTTTACATATGGCAGTTCTGCTAGTTCCCTGACAGTAAGAAAGTTACAGTCTGCGTTATGATCACTACAGTCAGGCCTTGATAACAGACACTCCCTTAAGTAAATCCGCTCAGCTGTTAGTAATAAACTTATCTCCTAACTGCTAATAGGATCGACGTAAAACTGTATAACCAATCAGTTTTAGTTAAGTATAAAAACTACCGACTGAGAGACATTTCACTTGACCTCTAACCCAGGCTGTCAAGACGTCAGTCCCAGTAACACTTTATAGGACTACCTTTACACAACGATCGCATTATATGAACTACTGGCATGCCTCCTATGTGGACACTAAACCATGATCCCAGCTACATCCATTATTACCCTAGCTCTCATAAAGACACCTGTCCTGATGTTTTCTCTGGTCACAAAGGTGTCCCCTAACAGGAGGTCGAACTGCTCATAGCAGTAACTGCACCCTCTATTCCTCCTCTGTAAAGGCACGGTGGCCTCATGGTTAGTGAGTTGGGACATAGTGTTGTGTTCTTGAGCAAGACACTTTACTCTCACAGTGCCTCTCTACAACCAGGTATATAAATGGGTACCGGCGAACTTACCGGTAATGCTGGGGAAACCTGCAATGGACTAGCATTCCATCCAGGGAGGAGTAGAAATACTCCTAGTTGCTTCATGCTATGGAAACTAGAGATAAGCACCAGTCTGATGGGCCACAAAATCCATACAAATGTCTCCCAAACCATATACCAGTAAAGTCTTAAAATTCCTTATGATTTCTGTGATACACTTAAAAATGGGCAAACAAAGTGATTTCAGTATGTAGTGCTGTCAGTTTAACTCCCCCCAGATCCCAGCACAATCTTGAAATGGCCTACACCGTATTAACAAAGTTATAAAAGTGGATCCCTGTCCTAATGACCAATTTTCAATTCTTTTTTGCAATTTTCTTTTTTTTTCAGTTTCCAGTTTTTGTCCAATTTTGTTTGCAATGTTACTTGATTGTGTTATGTGTCCCTGTAGCATAGCAGTTTGCTAGTTTGCTAGTTGAATACTTACTTCATGGTTGGTCTTTGCTGAAAGTTTCTTCTGAGCATAATCCGAATAGTTTGGCAAAGATCTTTTGCATATGTCTGAAAAACAAAGGACGTAACACTACAAACAATGAAATGCATTATACATATGGCATGCTTTGAAAAGGGTCACATTACAAGAGAGTTTTGCAGTTATTTTGTGTTAAGCAGATTCAAAGATCTAGACCAGAGCATATCAAGAGCAGACTAGAGCATATTTCATAATTTTGTGATTTTCAAAGAACGTAGTACACACCTTTCCAACAAGTTGGAGCACTTCTTCTAGCTCCTGAGGAGAGTGTTTGATTTGAAAGAGCTTTGATGATATTTGAGATTGCTGTTAAAAAAAAAAAGAGTAACAGTGAAATGTGAACAATGTGAACAAAAGCAATCAAATCAATCCTTACATACACAATGAAACAAATCATTGAAAACTCATTTTTAGCACCAGGGTGCTAAAGTTTACAAAACAAAATAAACTGCCTTATGATTCAATCTCATCCTGGTAGAGTACTATTACCTTTGGTTAGGAATAGTGTTATAATGTACTAAGGTCATTTTAATTCTTCATGTGTATGTTATGTAGAAGGGGAGGCCAATGGTCCTTCTAAACTGTGCGTATTGTAAAATTTGAGCCGAATTTCAAGCATCTTCTCTCAAATTTTTTCACAACACCCCAGAGTCTTGACTTCTTTAGCAAGGATGATGAAGTCTTTCGCTTAAAGAAAAGACACTTTTAAGTCCTGAATTGAAAGTAATCATTTGCCATTCTTCCATTCTACATGTGTTTCATTTCAGAAGGACACTCCAAAAAAGTTGAGAGGCCCTTTAGACAAACAGATGTCAAACAGTTCTACAAATCCCAGGAATGATGCTACATGGTATTATTTATTTATTTATTTATACATGGGTAAAACATCAGGACTTAAAGTAAATACTAAAATTGCATTAATTACATTGTTAAGATACTAATCTACTACTAATTAAATCTAATAACAACAAAAATAAAAACAATAAGGAAGTGCCTGCTCTCCATGAATGCCTTGTGATTAATTAACTTATTTATTATGAAAAAGGAAACCCCTGCAGCCAGATTTAAAACTAGCAAGAGTTCGTGCTTGCTGCAGATTGGTAGGTAAGCTGTTCCACAGCACCGCACCACTATAGCTGAAACTGTTTTTTAGAAAATTGGTGTGGGGGAGTGGAACAGCTAGTTTGCCCTCACAATCCCTAACAGAATAGGTAGATATTGCACTCTGATCAGTAAACATTGATTTCANCCCCGAAATAAGTCACTTTTTTAACCATCATGACATCTCTCTTTCTTTTGTGACGCAGATTTCTGGTACCAAGTTTCAAGAACACCAATGCAATATTTCCAGAGATATTGTTTATTCAGTATGTTACCATTTTTTAGTTGCAAAGAATATGATCATCACTGCTCTAATTTGCATAATAGAAAAACATCAGTATGTCTAAAATGAAAAAAAGACATTTCAAAAAGAAAAACGCCAGTCTTCTGTATCTTGAAAGGCCTTTCTAGTAAGCAGAAATTATTTGTCATGTCATATACACTTTAAACAGTTGCTACAATAATGCCTGAAAAGTGCAACTTAATAACATATTCAATTTGATAATTTACATTACCAAAACAATTATTATAATTTTCATCATGCACAAAGAGTGTGAAGTTTAGATAAATTATTGAAAGTAACACACCTACTGTGGTTCTTGTGCGAGTCCGTGCATCATCCATGATGGTTGAAACACCAAAGTCACCTGTTACATTAACATGTATTCAATCAATTTAGTAAGAGTTAATTATTTTTTTTGTTTTGAAACAAAAACCATTATAAAAAATAACATCAAACAATTAGGAATAAAAACCAGCGATAATAATTTCGGATGATGTTTCGATGACTCAGTCATCATTTTCAAATTTCAAAAGTCAAATTCCTGTGAGTTCTTTACGGTATATACTAAGAATGCGTGTGAAAGTCTCGTACATGCGATTAAAACTCTACAATGCGGAATGTAGAGAGTAAATTAACGTGGAATGTAGAAAGTAAATTCCTTTATTATATAACTGAGAAAATTACTTCATTGTGATTGACTGAGAGCAGGCCTATTTAATATCGATAATTTTTAATTTGCACTCAAGCGCGAATTAATGTGTGTGATTTTGTGATTTTTTCAGTCATAACATATGAGTAATCGTATGAAAGCTCGAGCAAATAAGGATTTACACTACTCATGATATTTAAAAATTCTTTCAAATTGCACTCACCTAAAGGCTTGTGCAATTTTGAATGAATTTTCAAACATCACTCATGGTGTATATCGTTAATTGCAATCACATTCATACAATCACCTATACTAATAACGAAATAACGATGTACACAATGATATTTTCTGATTCCCTGTCTCATTTTCTCTTAATTTACGAGCATATGTTCAAAAGAACGAAGCAGGCATTTACTTTTCAATTTACCAGACCTATTGGCTAAGGTTAGTTTATATGCCCATGCCTTAGGTGTTAAAAAAAAAACAGTTTTATTAATGACTTTCCAGGTGTAACTTATATTTAATACAGTTGTATTAATCACAAGAGGTCTCAGAATTTACATGTATACACCAATACTGATAGGAAATACTATTTTGAAAAATGGCTACCAAACTGGTCAGCATTTCTTTACAACTCACATGAGGTAGTCAGCCATTAGTCATACAGCACATTGTCTGGTCAGGAGCATACAGCCCAGGGCTAAAGAATTTTGTAGGAATGAATGGATTCTGTCCTTTGCTGAGGACATGTTTAAGGAAATTCAAACCAAATTCAAATTTCAGTTTATAAATCTGCCTGCCTCCACTATGCATGGTTATTCCAGGCAGCTAGCACTATAATTTAATAATCGCTTACAAGTAACTTAAAATGCAACTGAGAGTACCACTAGAATGTTGTTGTGTTGTTTACACAGATGTACTGTGAAAGGTGAAATTATTGACTGGATTAAATGTGGTTTTAATTTCCAATTAATTGACCATGCTAGTAAGAAATGTTAAGGGGGCTAGTGGGAATGACTTTTGCATTAGTAAGTCATACTTACAGCTTGCCCAAAGGTCAAACTAAAAAACTGGTTTTCTTTGCACACTGTGGAGGAGAAAATCTTCAGAAAAGATTGTCCAGTAAATATCTGTACTTCTGATCAGTTACTTACCAACTGAAATACTTCCATCTTCAGCAAGAAAAATGTTACTTGGTTTAAGGTCTCTATCAACAATATAAAGCAAAAAGTATAGCTGTGACTTAAGTTCATACGTGAAGATCTAAAGTATGCAGAGCACGCTAAATTAAGTTCATACCAAAATACATGTAGGAATACAAGATATGTGCCTTACTAAACAAATTTCATTTGCCTTTCAGAACTAATTCAATACCAACCAAAACAATATCTAAGAGTTATTGATGATATTGTTTTGTATGTTGATCAGTTCAGTAAATAATGGCATTATTTATATAGCTTTATGTGTTCTGGCTAAAAAATACTCTCTGCTTGCTCACCTATGTATCATACTCTTGCTGTGAACAAATGCTAGTGCATTCACCATCTGACCAAACCACTTTTTTAACACCTGTCAAGTGAACAAAATAAGTTGATGTAGGTTCTTCAATCAAAAGATAAAATGTGCCACTCCAGGAATTGTGTTTCACTGGTTTCAAATGAGTTGAGAATCATAACATTAAGCAAAAGACTTGTCATCACAAAACAAATACTCTAAAAACAGGCAACAGGTATTAATAACAATAATATAATATAATTATAATTATGTATAATTTTGGTTCATACTCACCATTTCAGGTATAGATTCTCCTTTGGCTCGTTTCTGCTTTAGAGCCTTATCCAAGTCACCTTCACATGTTCAAATGGATGGGTGTGGTATTAGTACATGTATCTGGATGTAAACTACACTTGAACCTCCCCCAATGACCCCTTTGGGGACAGAGGAAAGTGGCCACATTAGAGAGGTGGCTGTCATGAGAGGTAGGTACAGTCTACATATGAGCCAAGCAGCCATTAAGGATGGAGCTTATCCCAGTATCTGTAGCACAAAGTGAATAGGAGTATTTCTACTCCCTCCTGGATGAGATGCTAGTCCATCACAGGGTGACCCCTTGCTGGTACCCATTTATACACCTGGGTGGAGAGAGGCACTGTGAGAGTAAAGTGTCTTGCCCAAGAAACACAACCCAATGCTCCTGGCCAGGGCTCGAACCTGTTCTGCTCGTTTACGAGTCCAGCACACTCACCATGAGGCCACCGCTCCTCCACAGTGGGAGGTAGGGGTGTAATATGAAACCAGCTTTTTTCAGGGGTGTGATCTTTCTTTTTTAAAACAAAATGCTCATTGTAGCTTATAAATACAAAACACAATCAAATTATATCAAATTGATAAAACAATAAAACAGAAAACAAACCAAAACAGAGATCAATGACATGCTGTACAGATCAAGTTTCAAGACCTTTTACAGTAAAAAATGGGTTTTTGTCTGTCATTGATTACATGGCCATAATTGAGAGGTTATTTTTAACTAACAGTTGGGATGTACTTTAGTGGCCGTTGCTGTCATGGCGAGGTGGCCATTTTAGAGAGATGAAAATAACTCAGTGTTAATTATAGAACATCTGCCATGACAAAAAAGTGGCCATTGCTGGAGGTTCAACAGTTACTGAATTTATTCACTTGTAACTGATACTTCCAGTATATGAAAAATGTAAGTCTAAAATAAAATAACTTTAGTAAATGGTTATTCTTATGACTCACCTAACTTGTAGTAATCCATCACAATGCATACAAACATAGCAGATTCCTGAAAGATGAAAAGCAACCCTTCCTATTATTTGAAACAGGTCTACTGAATATCAAATGGCAACCTATTGTAACTTTTTCTATAATGTTAATTTGCTCACATTTTATTTCTTATGATTTAACTCACCTCTTTATCCCATGTGACAAAAAACTCTTTATATCCACATATATATGGATGTTTATGCGGATGCTGGAGTTCTTGTAATGCCACAGCCTATAGAAAAGTACAAACACACACAACCATCTGATTTAGTCAAGTACATGAAAGTTTATCATCAATAGCTGTTTTCACTAAAGTAACAAATGCGTTTGGTTGACTTATTAATTCACAACAAGTTTTAAAAAAATCTGTATGTGGGAAAATTTTGGGTGCGATCATCTTAATTGACTATCAGTTATGTTTATACTGGGGAGGGGGGTCTCCCATACAAAAAAAAATGGGGGTGGTCACCAGAAATTTTCAAAAGAACCCCTAGAAAGAACCCTGCAATGCCCTTTCTGGGCATTGCAGCTGCTTGAAATTTTCATCACTCTTAAGAGGTACCAATTCTTAAATCATCACATTCACTGACACAGACTTTTTTCAGCTCAATAGCCTAAAAGGTACTGTGAATGCTCTCGCTGTGGACCTTTTTGAGGCTGAATGCCCTAAAAGGGACCAATTCTTAAACCCAAAGTGAAGGTACAATGTACATGGTTTTCAAGTTGTTTAAGGTAAAATTAAAGTTTGTGTCAGCTCAAGTGGTTCATACCACTGGAGCTCCTCTTGGTTTCCATGACACAAGGTGACTAGAGATAGTTCTACTCTCCCTTGGGTGGGATGCATGCCTATTACAGGGATTGATACACCCCAACATGAACCATTTATACACCCCGGTGGAGAGAGGCACTGTGACCTAAGAACACAACACAATGTCCGGCCAGGGTTTGAACCCAGACTGCTCAATCCAGTGCCCCAACAGGTTAACCATTCTAGGTCATCTCCTACTGCCAGGTTGTGTGCATAATAACCTCACCTCCTTGAATGCTTTATTTGCCTCTCCTTCATCATTACATTCAACCTAGAAAATAATAACAGAACATCTCAAATATTTGAACTATCAGGCATAAAATGAATGCTTACATGTAGTTATTGGACTCAAAACCTGCTCACTGGCTATAACACAGGGCTGCAGAACCCATTTCTCAATTTCAAACTAATATTTTATATTCCAGCACAATGCAGTAGTATCAGTCACCACATGGGATTTCAATATTTTCCAGAGGACTTATTTTATTATTTTTTTTATGGGAAGGGGTGAGTGCTATCAGAATTATAGAGCATCTGCAGGGTCACTGTAAAATATATTCTTTGCCAATTCTTACAGGAATCTCAACATTATGTGCAAGATCCTTGAAGACCTCTAAGGACACAGTTTTACAAAAGATGACCAAGAAGATCTATCTTTATAAGGATTCTCTGGGATCTTTTAAATACTTTCTCAAGGGTACAAGAACTGGTTCAAATATGGGGCAGTACCTCACAATGCTAAATGTGAGCTGAGAATGTTGCTCAATGCAATGCTTAACAAAAATACGTTAATTGCAAATTCCTTGTTAGCCATTTGCACTGCAGACCTGTGTTAATAATATTATTTTCCTTCTCTCAATACAGAATCATTCATAAGGGTACATTTCTCTGTAGGCTGAGCTTGTAATCGTTTAGAATCCGACTTCAAACCACTTTTAAAAGTGTAAGGAACTATTTCTTATCATAAAGGCTAAGCTGCAAGGAATTTATTTCACGTTTTTAACAAGTTAAGCTTTGTTGTCTGTTTTATTTACCCATTGTTTTAACATCATGCTCCATCGGTCCACACATCACGAAAACTTTGTTTGCACAATTCTCTAAAATTTTTTGCTTGGGAGCTTACAAATTGCAGGTTAATTATGCCAAAATGAATTGAAAATTACGAGAAACATTGATAGCCAGAGTGTAATGGGAATGGTTGCTACGAAAATAAATAGAAGATAGCGAAACAGACTACCGTGGAATGTTCTTGACATTTTGGCAAATGGCAGAGATACCAATCACTGTGCACATTGTCGGTGCAAGTTCAGTGGAACTAGATACGAACGGCAACTGCGTGGTGTTGAAGTATTCTTTCAAACAGAGGTTTGTGTTTTCTTACACCCTACCGGAATATCCACCAACAGCTGGCAATTGCACAATAATAATTCAGTAGGATGGTTGTCCCACGATCAGTTGATCTGCATTACAAGTGATCAGAGTCAAGTAACAATTACAGGGCAATCATCTGGTCTCGTCTCTTCATAAGGACTGTTCTACACCACGATGAACAACCGTAATCTTTTGTAGGCCATTAACTGGCAATTACCTCCTATTCTCTGGTTGGAGCTTTTATAAGGCTAAGGCTTACCTTCTTCAGCACGTAGCAAATCTTGTCCTGTTTGTTTTCCGCGAGAAACACAGAACCCTGTGCTCCCTTGCCAAGCCGTTGATGGAGCTAAACAGTAAAGGATTGTACTTTCAACACAAATTCACAGAATGAGCAGGTTTTAAGGGAAAGGTGCAGAAAATCTACCTTGTAGCTTTCCATGGCGGTTGACAATTACGCCTCCACTGATGTGGCGGTCACTAGGTTTCTTAAATATTGCATAAATTATTCTAATTACTCATTAACCACGCATTAATTAATTCAAAATCGCTTGACCTTTGCGAGGGTTGGCAATTGATTGATTGTCACCCTACATTGTTGTAATGAAGGGAGACGGTGACGTGATATAACAGCTTCTGTCTTGTTCCCGTACTCCGGCTGTAATGAAATTGACTCAAGGTTTGGTTTGATTTTGTTGATATAACTTTCGATTCGTTAATTTGGGTTTCGAAGAATTTAAAAAACAAAATTATCTTCAACTAACTATATTTATGAGCCTGTTTTTGTTGTTGTTGTTTTCTGTTTTGTTTTTTCAAATTATGATGCGCCAAGGGGTCCTCCTGATTTGTCTTCTAAACTCGCTGGATGAAAGAGAGGAATTATTTTTGTCATCTCCGTTGAACTGAAGTGACATATTCATGAATATACGGACAACAAGAAAATGTTAGTTACCCAGATATTCGCTTGGCCCGCCATCTTGCGTGACCGCAGTTCTCAGGGCGTGGGTAACCTGTGCAAGCAACAAGTTATTGTTGCTCCCAGTTCCTCCAAGGCGCTAAAGGGAGGAAGTAAGCAATGATGCCGGATCTTACAGATCATGGAGGTTCGCGTTTTGTTTGAGGTTTGTGACTCACCGCACTCTATTTACATATTTTTATCAAGAGATATCTAATATATAGATCTTCAAAAATCTTTCTTAACGTCTTAGACAATTTAGGATCAGTTATTTTTTTAATCCTTGATATAGTTCATGCACTCATTGACGAAGCTCTTGTGTCGCAATGTAATTGATGATCCTGGACTTGTCTTCAATTCCGTTAGGGAACTCTGGACAAATGCACTTATGAACATGGAAAAAAGGATTGGAAGCGGCGTCATTTTGTATTCAAGCACATATTGGCCAGTAACATCAGAAGTTTGGAATTGTATGCGGCTGGAACAAAGAACTGGCGAAAGACAGAGCCGAAGGGAGTTCTAGCTCTTTATCCAGGCTATGAAATCCTAAAAATCCATGAACCAAAGCGTCCATTTGCGTTTGAAATCAAAACAGTCGATCATGCATATCGCTTGGCAGCTCACTCAGAAGATGAACTTAATCAGTGGATTCTCATTTTGGAGAGGGAGAGTATTGGTGAGTGTAATATTATTGCACCATTTGTTATTGTTCACTTCACGACCTCTGCTCTGACTAGCTCCCCATTTTTTAAATGTCATTTTGATCATTCTTCAGTTCCTCTCGAGGGGAGGTACAGAGCGGATTATACTGAAAAAAATTATCTAACTCTTATCTCCATTGTATAAGCCATGAATAACCCTTTGATGATAACCTCCCTTCTCCCCCCCTCCCCTCTCCTATTTAGCAATTAAAGAAGCCTAAGTCATGTAAAATTTATATATGTGTTATTTAACTAGTGTGAGGTCTGTATTGGTGGGATATCAGTTGGACTGAGCTGCAAGCAAGCTCCATAATTTTGCAAAAAAAAGAACAAAACCACCATTCCCCTAAACTGGCCTACAAGCTAATTCAACGAAATATTTATGATTCCTCTTAAAAAACTCTGCTGATAAATTAATGCATCCCTGCATTCCATTCTTTGTAAGTGCACGCTCCAAAGTTAAGTGTTTATTTATGTTTCAAGGTCTCTTTTGAATCTTCAAAACAGGGAAGAACATATGATTGTAATGCTAATAAAAAGCAGAATCAGAATAAATAAAATAATATTCTCTTCTGTTTCTCTATTTTATTAGCTTTGCAGTCATAGCTTTTTCCAATCATCATGGTTTTATTATAATGGAGCAGATATGAAGGATTTTCTGTAAGACTCCCTTGAAGGTCTACAATAACCTTAAGGTAATTTTAATCAATAATTTAACAATTTTTTCCTCTGTTGAACAGTCAACTCATTCTGTGTTGAACCTGAAATAAACGACCAAATGGCAAAGCTAGGAGCAGTGGATATATGTCACCTTCATATAGCAAATAGTGAACTGCGACTTCTGTGTGCAAAGGATGGAAGGCTGCTTGTAGCGTGGCCTTTCACATGTCTACGGCGGTACATGAGTACTCGAGGCAAGTTCACGGTTGAAGCTGGTCGAAGAGCTCCTACAGGAGAAGGGAAGTTCACATTCCTCACCCCTCAACATGATGAGATTTACAAGCTTTTGGATAAAGTGGTCAAGTCTAGAGCAGGTCAGATACAGAGCACAGCATCTTCCCATGAAAGCTTAAGAAAGACACAATCTGTTCCCATTGCTGCTGCATCTGTCAGTAAGGATGACTCACAAAATGGTTATGATCATTTAGTATCTAGTGCATCAGTATCTTCGTCAACTGCAGATGATCAGCTCTCACCAGGAATGACAAATTCGATGAAAAACACCTATTCAGCTCCATATGGACATCTACCATCCCGGGATGTCACACAAACAGGCACACCACTCGCAAGTCAGGGTCTACCTCAAATTCTGCCAGGAGGCAGATTGTCAGCAGAATCTAAAGTGGGTGGTCAATATGACACTTTGACTCAACCAGTGCAGGATGCCTTGAATCAGCCAGTACAGGGGAAACAAGGAGTTGGCGAGGATGGGTACAATACCCTTAATCAACATGTGCTGTCAGCTCAAGAATATAATGTCCTTAACCGTGGCCCTAAACTGCAAGCGACCTTGCGACAGCCAGAGACAGAGGATGTTTATAATGTGATCGGTGAGACACTGCATCCTGTTGGTATACCTGATGGTTATCAGGTAAATGAAGATGGCTACCATACCCTGTCCACTTCACGAAGTAATGCATCAGCTCCTGAGGAAACCTACAATACACTGGATCATGGCTCTCCAGCAAGGTCTACGCACAAGGCTTCCCATCGTCCAGGAAACACGGAATCTCAAGGATCTGTCACGCCTGTACCAAAACCAACAGCTAGAAGGCTCTTTGGGCCAAACGATAAACATTCGTCATCAGTAGCTGAAGTTGATGATATACAAAGTAAAGCAAAACCTCCCCCACCACCTGCAAGGAAAAAACCTGAACATGCAATGCTTCAGAAATCCCAGTCAGTAGATGAAGGCAGTGAATTGTATCACTCACTGGAAATGTCAAAAGCAAGACCACCAGCTCCCAATAGAAGGACATCTGAGCAGTTGAGAAAACTTCAAAAATCCCAGTCACTCATGGTTGATGAAAATGATGATATGTACAACACACTAGATACATGTACATCTAAAGTAACACATTCCCCAGTACAACCAAGGAAGATACATGGTCATATTAACAAACAAACATCTGTGGACAGTGAAAAAATGTACAATTCACTTGATGCCACAAGGGTGAGTACACCTCCAATTCCAGCATGGCAAAAACATTCCTCATCAAGTAATGAAGGTGATGACATGTACAATACCCTTGGAACTAAACGAGTCGGACCTACACTTCATAATGAAAAGGAGGACGATTTAATGGCTTCCCATCTGCCTAGAAATGATGACGACATGTACAATACACTTGATAAATCAAGAACTCAACATTCATTATCTGTACCGGTTCCTGCGCAAAGATCCTTTTTAAGCCATGGGGGCACCAGCTCCCCTCTCAGCAGCCCTTGCAATAGAGATTCCCCAGAGTTAAAGAGAAGCTCTACATCCACCATGCAGTCAGTCCGCTGCCCTTTACATGTAGATACTTCACCATCGCTGGCAAAGACCAACCGACAGGCATCTTCCTTGGATAACCTTGATTCTTATGCCAGCACAGATGCTTCATCAACCCTGGAAATGACTCATCAACAGTCAACTTCTTTTGATGACCTTGATTCTTATGCTAGAATTGATTATGTAACTTTGTCACCAGCAAAAGGTGCAGTCAAGCAGCCACCAATCCCAAAGCAAAGATCAAGTCCTTCTAAAGAGAGAAAAACCAGTGCACCTGACATCCTCTCATTAGCAGGGTATCACGGTGGCAAGGAATTTAAGAAGCCAGGAAAGAGTGGGCTTGTGTCAAATTTAAAGGCTTCCCTAGAAGCTGGAGGTTTAGATCTGACAAAACTGCCAAGAAAACCTAAAAAGCTGTCCAGGGAGGGAAGTGAAGAATTGCCTACATATGCCGAAGTTGATGAACGAGGTGCCAGTCACACTATCGCAGATGATGTCTTTGTTGCAGTGACTCCACCCACAAGACCTGCAAGGTCACAATCATCTCCGTCTGACGCCAAGCCAGGGGATGACATTTATGCTGAATTAGATCAGACAGCACAGGTCAGACCCAAGTCTCTGCAAATCACCAAAGCCAAGAAAAATACTAAGAAATAATTATACGTTAACTTAATATGTTATTGTCATTCAAGCTGGCTTCCTTCAGGCATGCACCTATCGATGGCCAATTCCCTCTCTGAGACACACCTGCAGAGAATCGTGGTAGTTGTATTTGGCATCTGGGACTGGATTTGATTTATTTTCATTGATGAATACAACTACCATGATTCTCTGCAGGCGCATGTCATAGCGGGAATTGGCCATTGATTATGTTAATAAAATGTAATGATACCTGAGAAAACTTTGGTTGCAGGCCTCAGTTTCTCATTTCCTCTGTCAGTAGACTAGTTTCAGGAAAAGAAAATTTGATTCAACAATCAAAATCCACTTGTCCTAAAAGTAAAAGCAATGCAGATAAATTGAAGCATTTATTTGAATGGTTAATATTCATTCTCATTTTGTTAGTTTTATAGCTTTTGTGATGTCCAAGATTAGATCATATTTCTGGTTAGCTTTCATGTAATAGAGGCTACTTCACAAATAATCATTTGACAAGAGTAAAAAATAATATAAAAGTATATGTAGCAGTAAATTTGTATATTTTAAGTGATTTATTTCTATTGTAGGTAGTTTTAAGACCACATTCAAACTGAAGAGAAATTACTAATATTTGGGTTTTTTAAAACAGAAAAAAGATGAAGTATACTCTTCTCTTTCAAAGTAGTACGCTCTTACTTGGTGTTGAAGACACAGATGAAGTAAAACAATAGACAACAAAAGGACAAAAAACACGAGGAATACAATGAAAACAATAGGTTTGTGAGGCAGTGTTGTATTGTAACGTGTAGTGTATCTTTTACACCATGAAACCCTACTAAAGGTTTGGTCTCACTTTTTACCAGCAATACTTATATCAGTTATGTTAAATGAATATGTCCAACAGTGAAGTGCAAACAGCATTGTGTTATTACATTATTTTGATAGTTCAAATTATATTAATTTTATCAGTCAGCAAACAGACGTGTTTATTGTTAAAATAGAAGGGAGATATTTTTGTGACAGTAGTTTAAGTCTTTTACATGGCAAACATTACATATCAAAAGTCAATTACATTGTTTAGAATTGCTTATTAAGTATATTCACATAACAAAGGAAGAAAACTGAGTCGCCAGATCACAGGAAGATTATAACTGGGCGGTTTAACAGACATGTACACAGTATTCAAATTGATAAATAATTCCACGACAGATTATTTATCTGTCAGAAGTCAACAATAGTCATCCCACTTTAATTGTTTTGATCTATTGGATATGTAGCCTTTTTTCAATAATACCGAGGGTAGGCATCGATTTACTGGGGAATTTATGTTAGATTTTAATTAAATGGCACAGCTCTTCAGTGCAACATAATTTTATGTTATATTATTACACATTAGAAAACAGTCCTAAGAAAATACGAGCACTGATTGGTTAAAAATTGTGTTTCTATAACTCAGTAGAAACACAGAACTAGCAAGAGCTGTTGACGTAAAGATGGTGCAAGCAAAGAGAATTTTTTTGATAATCAAAGTTAACAAGGTGTTTTCCTTTTTTTCGTTGCAGTGTTTTCTAAAAGAAATAAAAAAAACATGTTCTCCGTGTTTCTATCGAGTTATAGAAACACCTGTGAAAGTTTGGGAGAACTCAAAAAAGCTGTGGAAACACTCACCTGCAGCTTGTGTTCCCACAGCATTTCTTGTTCTCCCAAACTTCCACTTGTGTTTCTATAACTCGATAGAAACACGGTACATGTTTTCTATTTCTTAAGTGGAAACCCGATTTTTCAAACTTCCAAGGGAAACGAAAACTGGTTTGAAAAATTGGGTCATTCAAGAAATCAGGGTAAAATTAACAGTGCTCGACTGAGGGGAGGGAAACAACTCTTGGTTCCAGTTATCAAGAAGTTAAAAAAATTGAGGGCCAATGGAAACAAGAATTGGTTTGAAAAATCAGGTAGTTATAAGTTACTTACTTAAGATGAGATAGAGGCTGATATCCCAAACCTGTGGAATTTTATCATCATGGATGAAATTGCATCAATCTACAACATTTGGGTATATTCACAAGATTTATTTTACTTGCTAAACAAATGCTGCTTATTCCCAATAACTCCCATGATAGATTTGATTAAACATAACATCCTTCCACTAGTCTCTTAAGAAATTCAGAATTTAAATGGTAATTTAAACTTTAATTAAGTAGCAGCTTATTTTTGGTGCTATGTCTGTAAATTTGACAATAAAATTATTTTGAAGTAATTAGAATGTTACAGAGGCAGAATTTGTTTCAGGAAAAAATATATTATATTTGAATAAAGAGAAATAGTTATTTTTAAGTTGTGTGTTCCCATCATAATCATTTAAACACATCGCCAATTTTGGAGCTTGAGAAAGGTGCCTAAGGGACGGTAGAGCCTGGCAAGATATGAGCAGAGCATGCAGGTATCCATGGAAACCCTGAGAGTGGTGACCACCAGGCTCAGTCACACTGACAGAGTCAGTGGAGATACTGAACCAACCCATATGCATACTGTCACCAGCAAAAGCATGCTACAAGCATGAATGGCACTTGAAGCAAACTGCCTGTGCTGTAACAATCGGCAAGCAAAACACATAAGCCTTGTAAAACCCCACATGAGACCCCTCGGAACATGGTTGCCCTGAAAGGCCACTGACCAGCATTGGCTCGAGATAAACTTTGCCCATATTACATTTAGCCATGTTACTAGCATAACACACAAGAAAACATGCAATCTGATTTGGTACCCAGGGATGGCCTTATGACTGAAAGACAGCAGTGGGAGCTGCTGCTGGTTTGAGGAGCTCCAACTTCCAGTGGCATGCTAACAATTACCTTATTATAGGAAGTTTTAATTTTGTGATAATTAAGGTATTAACAATTAACATGACTCAAATTAATGCAAATTGAAGGAATAATTACTTCCCAATAAAAAAATTAACGTAAAGGTGGGGCTAAAATTGAGTCTGGAGTGTATGGAGAATGGTGGAAATAAAGGTTGCAGAAATTAACATGCTGAATAATCAATGACCCAGAAATTAAAGATAACAAAAATTACTGCAACTTAATGAAGCATTAATTTCCTATATTTAAATGGTAAACAGCATACTCTCAGTTTCTATCAAATATGTTGATTTCTTATCATGGGAAATTACATAACCAATTCTTTTTCCTGAAACTACATAAACTGCACAGGAATCCTTCCCTAGTTTAACTCCCAGAAATTTCCACCATTTTTTTTTTACTGCCCACTGCAAAACAATTATGAAATAAAGCAGCCTTTTAATTATGGTTAAACAAAAGATACCTCTTTAGGCTGAAATAATAATTAAAAGCAAATACTTTATCAACCGACAACAAATTTGACACAGGGTGCTTGAATTAAAACTGTATCAAAGGACTACCTCTCAGCACCTCCCCTATAGTCATAGCTATTTATCCCATCCACCCTCTACCTCTATTTATGACCTTGATGACCATAGTTGCTGGCACCATTCAGTATTCTTTGCAAGAAAAATTCTTTTTAATATATTGTTATCATGAGTAACGCTGTCTTTTCAGGATAAACCAAATGAGAACTAACATGTTCATTTATCACAAGCCTGCCATCACTTTTCCATTTGTGAAAAGTGTGACACTTCAGATAAAGTTCTCTCCAAAGCTTCCACCTGTCCACCATAGTTGCCCTTCTTAGCTGGAAGTGCTGGAAGATTAGTAATGCACTCAGCTTGATCTCCAACATCTGAAGGTTCTGACACTGAGCTTTTAAGAGCCAAAGAAACCCTTTCAGTGCATGGTGTTTGTGGAGGGATCATGGAAATTAATGAATCTTCAGAGCTTTTGTATTCAGCATCTGCTGCAAATGCTGTAAAGTGGGTGAAAGTTGGTGATGTACTTAAAATGCTGTCAGAGCTCTTGCTTCTCCGTCTAGTCAGTGCAGTGTCTGAAGCTCTCTCAGCAACTGCCGCTCTGTTCTTTTTCTTCTTGCTTAGATCAACTGTAGCATACAGGGCTGGCAGAACCTCAACACTAGAGGAATAAGCTGCATTCAAGTACATAAAATTTGGAGATCCAACTATGGATAGTGAGTGTTCTCTTCTTGAGTACTTTGGCCCTTTCTGTTGGTCAGGTGGAGTACCTTGCTGAGTGGATTCTGGTCTGCTAGGTAGCTCTGGCTTTGATTGCATATTACTTGATTCTTTGGAGTATTCACTGCTTCTTGTCAATTCATCAAAAGATCCTCCCATTCCAAAATGATCTTTGGTTGTGGTGGGGGTCATTTGCTCTCCTGACATCTGTTGACTGGTTGGGAGCTGGTTCAGGGGACATCCCCCATCCACTTCTAATCCTCTGTCCTGTAAACACCACAAGATGTATCATGGAGTCAGGCCTGTCTAGCAAGCAGAATAGTGGATAAAAGGTCTTGTAAGTTAGATGATAACAAATTTCTCACTGCTTTCCATATTGTTACACAAATATGAAGGTCATAATGTAAAGATAATAACTGAAAATGTGCTGTGGCATATCCAGGGTAGAAGTTAGAAATATTGTATTTGGGGAGGGGAGGGGGGAGAGAGAACAGGAAAACCTGGATAAAAATTCACAAAACAGATACAAGAACAAACAAAAATGCAACCCCCATTTAGCAAAGACTTTGGAACTCAAACCCAGGCAGTGTTGGTTGGAGGGAAATTTTAACACTGAGAGTGAAGACAACCACACCTGAGTCACAACTACTCCTTCAGAAATTCTCTTTTAATTAATGATTTTCGAACATTTTAAATATTCCATGATGGAGAATAGACTGTTTTCAATACATTAAAATTCAGCTTGGCAGTGAGGCCTAGAGGACACAAACATAGGAATTTGAATGAGCATGTTAATTCATTTCTTTTACTTGCATCCTCTTGGACTCACAATCATCAGAAGTGGCCTATTTGGTCTAAGGTTTAGACTGGTTTCTCTTGTATGTTCTTAACCCATTGACTCCCATGCTGCCCATAACCGGCCATGACAAGCCTTGGCCTTTGTTCCACTTCTGATGTCATCACCTTTGACCAAATTTGGCATCATCTATACTCAACTTCTGCAGGAGGAAAAGATCTTTCCAATGATACCCAGATCAGAGTGATTGGTTCAATGGAGCCTGAAATATGCACGAAAACGCTAAGAAATTTGAGTGAAAAACTAGGAACAAAATTTCCTGCGACTACACGTAGCTAATCCATGGTAAAAATTGCCTGTCTCCACGGTGCTTTCGCAGAATTTTTTGGACTGGAAGCAAGCCCAGTAGAAGGTCAATCACTGCTGCAAAAAGATAAGAAAAGGAGAAAAAGGAAAGGCAAAAAAAAAANGTAGATTGGAGCTAATTTGGCCCATATCCAGCCTGAAAATCTCCAAAATGTCCAAAAAATGCGTTTTTGGCAAAAAGCTCTGGGAGTCAATGGATTAATATGTCTCATAAGTATGACCCAATCTTCTAATTTACATGTATCAGGAACTAATTAAAAGGATTAATGCACCACAGACTACACTGCGAACAGCTCCATACTATGATGTAAACATACTTCATGTGACAAGAGTAGACAATAAATATTTTAGTCTGACAGGACTGAGAAGAAAAGTGGGGACAAGATCTACTTCACTGGCATAAATTAACAGCTTTATCGTGTACAACTACTCTTAACAAGTGCCTTACCAGTGACTCAGGTAAGTTACGGCTTGTAGTACTTGGTGAGCGAGCCAGTCTGTCATAGCTACCTTCACGTATGCTACCAGCTGATGGCACTGCAGGGTTAAGTCTGTTGTACTGTTCTCTGGGTTGAGTAGAGCTGGAGCCCCAACTTGGAAGTCTCTCCAAGCGATTGTAGCTGAGAGCAGATTCTGAGGTAATTGAAAAGTTTCCTAAGCTGTGTGCGCTGCCTATGCTGTCTGACCTGCCTATGTGATTGTACATTTCCTGCATTCCTCCTGCGTCAATTGCTTGTGGAACACTCTGGTTGATGTTTCTCACATGACCATTCCGGTTGACTGAAGGGACTAAATAAAGACAGATTTTATTCCATTGGTTCAGCAGTCAACCTAATTTCCTGGATTAGCACCACTCTTGATCACAAAGACTGTACATTTATGGCATCCAACAGCAGCCAGTCAACCACAAAATTAATAATAAGCGGTAGCTGTCATTTAAATTTCTTTTGACATATATGGCACCATTATTCACTTGCTTCCAATGGACCTTTTCACCGATACGGCAGCCATTTAGATTTCTACTGATTTGAGAGTCGGACATTGTCGGATGCTCAGGAGGGCTTATTAGTATGTGTTTGCACCCTAAGCATCCTATAATAGCTACAACATGAAGTAAAACTTTATTTTCAAAGGGCAGTTTTTGGTAGATTTGGTCAAATGTACGCACTAATGTCCAAAAATGGACTTGCCTTAGCCCCTCCCCACCCTCTAAACATCCAGTTGACATTAGTGGGTAGGAAGTGAATATGTTGACAAACCTTACTTAAAGATTTGGAGGTGGCACTTAGTCAAGTAAATACTACCAACGATTTACAGCTTTATGGTCAGACATGCAAAAATTTGATACTAACAGTCATGCGACATTCACAGCTGATACCTGAGATGGGTTGGAGGCTAAACCTTAGTTGATCATACGCTCTCTCAATGTCATCTTCTGTTAATTCACTTGAAGCTGCCGGGGGGCGGTTATCCTGACGTCTTCTGAGCCGAGCAGAGGCAAAACTGTCTATCACATCAAAAATCTTGTTGTCATCACCATTGTGTGTGAAGAAGTTGTATTTCCCTTCACCCATGGGTGAAGCTCTTCCAGCTTCAAATATAAACTCATTAGAATCCATAGCTTCATAGCTCCGAATTGTTGTTAGGGGCCACTGAGCCAGCACAGCTCGTGTCCGCTCCAGAGCTAAGGTCAGACCCCATCTGGAGATATGTAGCAGGCACTGTTGTTCCTTGGCTCCAATTCGCTGCAGTTGTCGACTACTGCTGCCTTTGACCCTGAACACTTCACCTATAAAAATAACAACACAGAGAATGTTTACAAGGTATCTGCTTGATAAGGCTGGAGGCTATCTTGAAAACAGCTCGTTTAGCCTCCAGGCTAATCGATTTGAATAACTTTAAACCTAATATATTCTTGTAACCTTAAAATAATATACTTTTGTGTCAATTATTAGACATATTATTGGTAGAAAAGGAGAATGACATGAAAAAGATTTGATATTTTCCTGTTTAAACACGAAGCGATCCCATAAAAGGCAGGGACATGCCAACTTTGAAGCACTTTATTGGCTTTTTTGTGCAATGGTGGATAGCCGAAATAACAGTCATGTAACATAGAAGTTGTGGAGAAATAGCGTTGTTTTTTTTTTTGTTAAAACAACGGAGTCATTTACGTAGAATAATATAAGGTAAATAGTAAAAACAGAGTCAAAATAAAACTTATATTAACACTTTAGAAGATGCCTTTGGAAGGACAAAAATGATGAATTATCTTCGTTGCTTCACGGAATATTCAATTTTGCAGCTAAATAAAATAACAAAGCTGATGCCTGCGATCAGTGAGCTATCTGTTTCCATTTATATCCGCATGCCGAGAACGAAAACAAATTTCCAAAGAGGTGATGTTGGTTAGCCTGTGAACACAGACGGAGTTTGGTGGGATATTCAAAATTATTCAGATTTATGAGCGTAATGATGGTGCAAACAAAATGCAAATTGAACAACACTGAGTTATCTCTCAAACTATATTCAGAGCAAAGAAATTGGAAACAAAAAGTACTACAAAGAAACAAGAGAACTTAAAAAATGGCAAAGTGAGATTTTGCCTGAATATTGACGTTAGAAAGGAGAAGGAAACTCATTGCTGAATGCAAGAAAAACAAAAATTGCGTTTGTAAAAGGCCGACTGAATTTTAACAGCAAGAGTACGACAGCAGCCAGTGTTCACCTCATGAAATCTCTTTTAGATAACTGGCTGAAGAATAACCATATTACTGTAGATATAATATATTACCTTCCCAGTCAACAACAACAACAACCATTTTATTTTGCATTTAATACAGAGAATATCATACAGCAAAAGAATATACATTAAACTTAAATAAGCAAAAAAACTACTCAAAATAGTAAAAACTAAACGATCTGAGTAGTTACAAGAATTATTATGCTTTAAATCGGTTGTAAATCAGTCTGCTTGTATCTGGGTTTTTTTACTAGTTTAGTTTCCAAACTTATTTTGCAACCATGTTAATCCTTGAAGGAGCAAAGACACTCTGGCATCAAAAGAACTAGACACAGCATCTTATAAATTTGAGTGAACAGAATGAATTCATACGATAGGCTTTTGCGAGCGGAGGAACAAAATTATAAAGTTGAAATTAAAAAAGTCAATTTCATTTGTAAACTCTTCTCCTGAAGCTACTGTTCATTTAGTTCAAAAGGCATTGTTTACTTAGTTGTAAAATAAAACAGAAAATTATACCTGATGGCTCTACAGAATTTTGTGGCAATGCGCAAAAATTACATCCGAGTGAATAAGCCAATCAAATAGAAGCATTGGTTGTCTGTTGGGATTTGTGACTGGCAGGCTGAACACCTCAGCCTCGTCATATAGGATCACTCCATGTTTAAGCCCAAAAGCTTTTCATAATATTCTACCATGATGTATGCTGTCGGCTGCCCAGGACTCAAGTGCCAGAGGTATATTTTCTGCTCGGGTGTAAAAAGAGGGACTGGTGAGCTAGCTACTGGTGAAAATCACCATGTACTTAACGATCTCGCACTTTTACCCAACATCAAACCTACACCCACCTGCTACTCGTGGATTCAAGGTACTTTGCATTTGTAATTGGATCACCCACAGATCCATGACAGTCTCGCTCTCAGCAGCCAATATGAATGTCTCAGCATCAGTGCTTATCTCAAAAACATGTTGCCTAGCTCTGTGTTCCAGTCTTTTAAACACCTTGTATCTTGGAAACAGTTCTAATGTCCCACGCGGCATTTGCCGTCGCCAGCCATCCTCTCTATCAAACCACTGAAGGAAAGGTTGATCACCTGCACAATATTTTCGGAGTACATAGTAGCCCTTCTTCCATTTCTTGGTAAAAGACTTTTTTAACCAGCCCTTGGTCTTACTAGTATCTTCTTCTGTTGGTTTCTCTAACCATCCCTAAGAAATAAATGGTTGTAAACATGAAAAGTCACATGAAAGAAGTGTTTGTTTGTTTGTTTGTTTGTTTTCAAAAGATTGTAATATTATTATGCAAAAGATCAAGTTAAACTTTGGCAAAAAATGGGATAGCTCAACCAAATTTACAAAATTAGTCAACAACTTGTCAGTGCATACTCTTCGGGGGTCATAAGATACACTGGATACTAGTCATACTATATTGTAACACCCTTTTCCAAAGTGGACATGTGCCAGGTTGAATTAGTATATTAAAGCAGATACATTTTGACTGAAATTGTAATTCTATGGAGGAGTTGAGATAACAGGGTTAATTTCAGTTGATTTATTTGCTTCAAACAGCAGGCAAAATAACATTATAAAATAACTGAGGCAACTCCCCAAAATTGCTCCAGACTAGCTAGAGGAGTTAACAACAAATGATACACCACAAGGTACGACAATTTATTTGTAACACGTATGTATACTAAACCAATTATTTCATTCCCATGCAAACGCGGCAAGAGCTACAAAATTCCCCAGTCTCCAATGAGTCACCAAATCTCCCGAATATGAAGCATGTTTTCACACTATTACATTTAGCCTGATTCTGGGAAATGTTGGGGGATATTTGATGCATTTTCTTGGTTGAAAGTGCGGAATTCAATTACGTACTAAGCTTTTGGAAGTTGAGAAGAGGCGAAGTCGCCAATCTCCAGATTTTGATTTTTTAGGGTTGATATTTCTCTAATGGTGAGCTAAGCAAACCTGTACTCGTGGATGGTCCTTTCAGTTTTAATTAGCTTATCGAAGCCATGTAACTTGTAGAAAAAAATTCTGCTAGCTTTTAGAGCTTTCGTCTCATCCGTTAGGGGAAAACGTCATTTCACAAACAACTACTTTTTGGTAAATTCATATTTTAATATCTATACTGGCCACTTTATAATAAACAGCAAAATTCTTAGTTTCAACAGTAAAATCAATTTAATAACAATACGTGACGTCTCCGATATCTCTGCTATTCAGCTGCTGTAAACACATGATTAAACAACTCGACACAGTGTCAACTTCAGAGTCCCAAGATGAATGACCCTATTCTTCAGATCTCTTCAACACAGCCAGCAAGCTACATAATATCCGCCCGACGTCATACAAATAAATCGAGTTTTCTTTCCCGTCTGATTTCCTGTCGCCAACCACATGCAGTTGGCCTTTGAACAAACGTGTGTATGCTACTCGTATACTGATTGAAGCTTACATTTAGCTAGAATAAACTACTAACCTCAAACATTCTCAAGTCTAACGTTTAAGTCTTATAAACATACATGTGAGACTTTATATATCAAAACTGTAGTCTACCCGAGTAATAATTACACATACATGTTGATAAATGTTCATTTTACTCTGAAATTAACGTTCTTAGAATTACCATGAAAGAAGTTACTCTAACTCCCTACCTCGAATATATCTTCGATGTCTTCCAGATCCGACATATTCTTTCTTAATCAGCAGATCAAACGATCAAGTAAGTCAAGCAAGGCCGGCCAAGTTTACGACCAAGGTGTTTTAACACCTCAGAGTTACCTTTACAAGAGGCATTCTCTACCTAAATGAATTGAAAACTGATGAATATTCAGTAGAACTGTCCCCGCTTTCATCGGAAAATCGAAAGACCTCCTCAGAAATGTTCCGCGTTCTTACACCGGAAACTGGACGCCTACGCCTAACTTTTAGGAGAGGGACTGGAATTGGGTGGAGAAGATGGGCCGATGTTCTCCGATGTTTGTTTGTTTCTTTATTTAATTTGTTTGTTTGCTTATTTTAGTTGCTTTCCAAATAATTATCACCATTACATGCATGCCTGTTCTCAGTACAGCGCCCTGCACCCTCAGGGAAATGGAAGGTGGCTGCTTAATGG